CACTTCTTCCAGGACAGATTTGTTCCTTCTTCTGGGAGTTCTTGGTACTTTCAGTATTCTTCACCAACACCACAACTCAAAGGCATCAACGCTCAGTCTTTCCTATCACTGTCCAGCTTTCACATGCATATTTCACATGCATATGAGGCAACTGAAAATACTATGGCTTGGATTAGGCACATATTAGTCTTCAGACTAGGAACTCTGATAGCGTAGTGCCTAAGGCATTTGACTGCTAACCAGAAGGCTGGTGGTTCAAACCCACCAGACACTCCTCGGAAGGAAGGTTGGGCAATCTACTTCCGTAGTGATACCGCCTTGGAAACCCAAGGAGGGGTCACTATGAGTCGGGTCCGACTCGATGGCACATAATAACAACAGTCTTCAGGCTGACATCCCTCCTCCTCAGCACTTGAAAGAGGTCTTTTGCAGCAGATTTGCCTAGTGCAAATACAATGTCTGATTTCCTGACTGCTGCTTCCATGTACACAGAAAAGTATAATACATACCATTTACTAAAACAAACATTTGACTGAAGCTGAAGAACCGTATATACTTGTTGTGACTTACCTCCATATCTGACTTAAAGACAGACTAAGAATAGATCTCATGTGAACCCTGGGACTGCCTGTGTTTTATTAATACAATGCATATCTTATAGCCCTAACATATTAAAACAGCTTAGAAAGGTATCAAACACTAAAAGCCATCAAAGTTTCGATCGGTCATCATTGTTATCTATCTCCCTCTGGGCCTTCATTTCTTTACAGTAGCAGGATGCCTACCTGCGGTCCCTGTCAAATTCTAATTTAAATGACTTTATTATTATAAGACACAAATGGTTCCAACCAGTCCCTAAAGGATTAGGCCTCTGCCCATTCTATCAAACGTGAGTCAGGAAGAGAAAATACCATGGCTCAGGTACAGTGCCATTCCTGTCCCCACTGACCTTCAGAAAACCTTGACTGTTTATTACGAGTGAGCAAGAGCTACTTCTTCCGACTGTGCTCACTTCAAGTTAATTAACTATTTATACTGATGTTACAATTTTCAAGTGTCCACCCAGAAAAGTCCAAAAAATTAACTTTGATAAGCACATGATACAACTTTCACTTGTCTTTATTAAAGACAAAATGGCAAACTGACTTGATAACAGTTATTATGAGAATAAGATTGGCTTTCTCAGTTAGGAAAAGGTTACATTTTTCTTGATCTGTGTGGGCGTGTGTCCGCACAAATGTCTTTAATACATAACCCACATTTCCCCTCGCCCTGAGCAATGATAGAGAAAGATGTCTAACTGACATGAAAAGCACATTGGTGGTGTGGGGAGCAAAGAGGTGTCTGTGTTTGTGTGTGTTAATGGCCTCACAAGGTGAAGACAAACAACTAGTTAAACACCAACAAACAAGCACAAGCCTTGTTTAGGAACTGCTACTCTGCACTAGTGTTGGCTGTTACTGCTAATGCAGGATCATGTCTGCAGAGACAGCTGCCTTCCCTGTCCGCACCTCTTGTGCATCTCTCCCTGTTCCTTTTCCTTAGTGATCCTATGCTGGTCACATGCTTTTGTCATACTGCTTTTCTCTTCACTCACATCAAACACTGGTCTGCGGGTGTATAAAGTACACAGTATGGGTAGCCAATGGGAATAAACCCGAGACCACACCTGGGTCTGGAAGATGATATTCCTGCACGTGTTATTTGTATGTATTAGAAAAATGTCCGTATGCAGAGCTAACAGGCAGCAAAGGTAGGATAACTTCCTAGCCACAAATAAGCACCTTGAGGGAGTGGGTCACTGGGCCTGCGGGCTGGGGACCATGGTGGCAGGGGACACCAAGCTAAACTGGCAAAACATGGTAAAGAAAAATATTGTTCTACATCTTACTTTGAGTAGTGACTGGGGTCTTAAAAGCTTGCGAGCGGCCATCTAAGTGGCAACTATTGGTCTCTCCTCGACGGGAGCAAAGAAGAATGAAGAAAATCAAAAGACACAAGGAAACAGTTGGTCCAAAGGATTAATGGACCATGAGAACCCCAACCTATATGACCCTGAGACCAGAAGAACTAGATGGTGCCCGGTACCAATGCCAACCTCTCGGAAAGGGATCAGAATCGGAGATCCTGGAGAGAGTAGGAGAAAAGTGAACAAAACTCAAAACTTGTAACAGAAAAAAAAGACCAGGCTTACTGCTTTGACAGAGGCTGGTGAAACCCCAAGACTCCAGCCCCAAGTCACTGTTCAGGCCTGGAACTGAACAAGTGGCCAGGCGACTGCTCTCAGCCCAGCGACAGACAGGACTAGGACGTAAACGCGAGCACCAGGGAGATGCACTCTTTACAGCTGTCAACCTGGGGGTCAGAAGGGCAGCACTGGCACAGAGAGGAAGGCAGGGAGGCTAAGGCAGGAAGGGCATAGGGAAAGGGTGACCGCAGGAGGAAGTGGGCGGCGGGCTCGACACTGCGGGGAATGTCACCGTCTCACAGATCGTGCAGGAACTGTTGCATGCAAACGAATCTGCTCTGCAAAATTTCACCCAAATCACTCTAAAAGGATACACTACGCTATGCTGAGTTGTCATGGGAACGAATTCTGGAAGCTTAACGCTTATTGCCCTCCCAGATGCACGCACATCACAAACCATTAACAATCTGACCACATCAGCGACTGGGAGTTAATTACAATACGCCAAGAGGGCCGAAACTGTACGGAAGCCACCGAGCTGTTAGACTTCATTGCCCCCCGTTCTCGCTCTGGGTGGGCCAAGCCAGCGGTGCGGGGTCGGCGGAAGCAGAGTTCAGAAGCCTAATAAACCCAACCTGTGCCAAGGAAAAAAAGCCACCTGCGCACGGGCCACGGGGCGTGGCTGCCAGGTGGCCCGGGGACCGGGGGGCTGTGACCAAGTGTCCGGACCACGCTGCCCTCGAAAAGACCGGGCCCGAAGGCTGCGCCTGGGAGCCGGCTGCGGCTGCCGGGCTCCACACGCCCAGTTCCTGCGCCCGCCTCAGGACCCGTTACCCCGGAGACGGGCGCCGCCCGGACCCGCCGCGACCCCGCGGTTCTCTCAGCCCGACCCGGCTTACTACCTCGAGCTCCTGATTCTCGCACTGATCCAGCATCTTTTTGAAACTGACGGCATTTTCCGCCATTACCGCCACTGGCATCTTCCCCACCGGTCCCGCCGCCGCACTTTCCCGAAAGCCAGACCCGAGACCGTCCCCAGAGACGTCGTACCGGCGACGACGTAAAAAGCCTCAGTTGCCAGCAAGCACTTCTGCGCAGGCGCGCCGTGACTTTCGGCGCGTCGTGTGACGTCACTGAGGCCGGGAGGAGTCTGAGCCGCTCTGGCCGACCTCTCGGTGCTCTGGAGGACCTGCGCGGCCTCCCTGGAAGTCGGTGTCAGGAGTTAAGGGCAGGTCGGGGAAGGGAGTTTTCTGTCTGTGCGGGGCCGCCTTAAGAGGAAGTCTTTTGAACAGAACAAGGGGATATGGCTTGGTTTAAAATCAGGAAAGGTGTGTGTTGGAGTTATATACTTTCACCATACTTATTCAATCTGTATGCTGAGCACATACGCTTAGAAGCTGGGCTGTATGAAGAACAGGGCGTAAGGATTGGAGGAAGACTCTTTAACAACCTGCCATGTGCAGATGACACAGCCTTGCTTGCTGAAGCATTGACTGATGAAATCAAAAACTACAGTCTTCAGTATGGATTACACCTCAACATAAGGAAAACAAAAATCCTCACAAGTAGACCAAAAAGCCAAACAAAACAAACCCACTGCCATTAAGTTAATTAAGTTAATTCCAACTGCCCCCACAGAGTTCCTCAGGCTGTAAATCTTTGCAGAAGCAGACTACCTTGTCTTTCTCCAGTGGATTAGTTGTGGGTTTGAACTGCTGAGCTTCTTTTAGTTAGCAGCTCAATGCTTTAACCACAGAGCCACCAAGAAGCAGAATCATGATAACTGGATAAAAGATTGACATTGTCAAGGATTTAATTTTACTCGGATCCATAATCAATGCCCATGGAAGCAGCAATCAAGAAATCAAATAATGTATTGTGCTAGGCAAATATGCTGCCAAAGACATGACTTTGAAGATTAAGGTGGCATAGTGCCTAAGCTTCCAAATGAAACAGGACCCAGGCCAAGATGCTGCCTGCCCACTGTTACTGTTTCACAGTTTAGCAGGTGCCAGATTAGAGACAGTGGCTGGCTTAGAGGAGAAGCAAGTCTTAGGACAGGCTCCTTGGGGCTTTTCCTTACTGTCAGCGTTCTCTTTTCCTCTCCAGCCTTGAGTTACAATACTGAAGTATATTCTATGGGAGCTCTGGTAGCACAGTGCCTAAGGCACTTGACTGCTAACCAGAAGGCTAGTGGTTCAAACCCACCAGCCACTCCTCAGAAGGAAGGTTAGGCAATCTACTTCTGTAGTGATACTGCCTTGGAAACCCAAGGAGGGGTCGCTATGAGTCGGGTCCAACTCGATGGCAAACAACAACAACAGTGCCTAAGGCATTTGACTGCTAACCAGAAGGCTGGTGCTTCAAATCCACCAGCTACTCCTCGGAAGGAAGACTGCGCAATCTACTTCCGCAGTGATACTGCCTCAGAAACCCAAGGAGGGGTTGCATGAGTCAAATCGAGTTTTTTTTTTTCCACCCAAGCCATGTTATTTGCAATAGCCTCATATGTATGTGAGAACTGGACAATGAATAAGGAAGACTGCGGAAGAATCGATGCATTTGAATTGTGGTGCTGGTGAAGAATATTGAATGCACCATTAACTGCTAGAAGAATGAACAAATCTGTCTTGGAGGAAGTTCAGCTGTCATGCTCCTTACTAACAAGAATGACCAGACTTTGTCTCTCATACTTTGGTCAGGTTGTCAGAAGGGACCAGTCCCTGGAGAAGGATATCATGCTAGGTGTGGTGTAGTGAGTTACTTGGTATGGCTTTTGTAGCCACAGTCTTTGTAACTCCCACCAGATTACTGGGTGGGACCATACAAATAAGGTTTGTAGAACTCTGGTGTTCGGGTTAGTTAGTTTTGGCACTCTGCCAGGCTTAAGTGAGCCCTCCTAGAGGCAGAAAGGGGATCTCACTGCCACTGAGAGAGAAGAGCTAGAGGTGAAGTGGAGTGTGTCCCTGGACCAGAGATCCCTGCCCTGGACCTCCTTGGCTGAGAGATGCCTGGCTGAGAGAGAGATGCCCGGCTGAGAGAGAGATGCCCGGCTGAGAGAGAGATGCCCGGCTGAGAGATGGCAGCAGTCGAGCCAAGAGGCAGGAGACGGAGCTGCGGGCTTGCTGGCCCACAGAGAGAAAGCTGTGTGCCCTTGACCAGGAGGCTTGCTGATGGAGTGGGGTATACCTATTAGCAGAGCTAAAAGAGCTTTATAACACTTGCCTGAGCAGGGCAGAGGCCAGGCCGAGAGGCTAAGGGCCACAGAGGTGAGCCTGAGGGCAGAGCCGAGGGGAGATGGTCCTAATGGAAGAATTGTGTCCTAAGCATGTTCCTGAACCTGAATTGTAGCCTATTACTTCCCTAATAAACCCCATAATCATGAGTATTGTCTGTGCATTCTGTGTGGCTGTTGCAAGGAATTATTGAACCCAGCAGAGAGGTAGTGAGTGCTGTGGGAGGGGAGGCTTGTGTCAGAGTTAGTAACAAGGTTGGAGGGTGGCAGTATGTCTGGCCTCATAGGAATAAGCCTCAGGCTATTGAAGGTTAGTCTGTTTCTCCCTTGTGAATACAGATGTAAATTTCCTCCACAAAAAATAGCAAACTGAATCCAGAAACAAACAAAATTAATGATACACTATGACCAAGTGGGACTCAGCCCAGGAATGCAAGGTAGGTTTAACATCCAAAAATCACTTAATATAACACACAGTGTCAATAGAATAAAGTACCAAATCCACACGTTCATCTCCATAGATTGAGAAAAATCATGTGACAAAATCCAACACCTCTTCATGATAAAAACCCTCAACAAACTGGGAGTAGGAGGGAACTTTGTCAACATGATGAATGGCATCTGTGAAAACTCACAGCTTACAGTATAGTTAAGATTAAAATACTGAATCCTGTGAGGCAATGAACCACCTTACAGGGAGAAATTTGGCCTTTGTCCTTGTTCCTGATGGATAATGTTTGGAGTCTCCAGAGTACTTGAGGGACCTCTTGTTATCTCTGCCTGAAGACTCTGCCAGAGAATTTGTGCCCATGAGTGGGAGGCTGGCCAAGCCAGAAGGACCACGTCATGGCCTTCTATCAGCTGATGTCAAGGAGTCAGGGAAGCATGATCTCATCAAGCACACAAGGAGGCCCCATCACGCATATGGAACAAAGCTAATAAATGTTCTAGACATGGATGCTCCAGGGGCTTCTTGGCTGGTGAAGGTGCCAATAGAGGTGGGAAGGGAGTAAGCTTCTCTGGGGACTTGGGAGCTCTTCATTGAGAGTCCCCTTGACTTTGACCCATGCATCTCTTCTTTCTGGTTTGTATCTTTGCTATAATAAATCTATAATTGTTAGTGTAGTACTTTGTGAGAGTTTGTGAGTCGTTCCAGTGAATTATCAAACCCAAAGGAATAATGGGAACAAGAAGGTGAGAGTGAAGGACTCTGGGGAGGCACTGGAGCTTGTGACCGACATCCCAGATGAGGAATGGGAACAACCCAAATTTGTGGCAGCAGGTCAGAAGCCAGGGTGTTGCGTGGACTCCCAAGCTTGTCGTTGGTGTCTGCCTATTTGTCTGTCTGAAGGAAGGTGTCCTTTACACTTGTGAGATCTGACCCAGCTTTGGGTGGCTAGGATCAGAACTAGAAAGTGCTTTGTGGCCAGATAGAGATGACTGAGAGGATGGTTTTGAGGGTTTGATTTACATACATTTATCTGTGAAAATGTTTTTTCCCCAAGGTCAAGAACAACACAAAAGATGGCCACTGTTGCCTCTTCTGTTCAGCATTTTCCCAGAGGTTCTCACCAGAAATTTGGACTTTGGGATGCTGATGTGGCTAAGAACAGGATGACAGACTGCTCAAGTACTTCCATTGCACCTTGTGATAGTTGGAGCTGTGTGTCAACCTGGTTGGACCACAATTCTGTATGGTTTAAGCAGTTGTGATGTGGGTTATTCCCATGATGGGATCAGATGTATATGTTTTGAGCAGCCAATCCATTGAAAGGGAGTTTCCCTAGGGGTGTGGCCTGCTTTCAGTATATTTATGGACATCCCAGGAAAAGAGACACTCTTCTGTGGATCGGGACCCTATTGTGCTGCCTACAACTGTCTGTGAGCGAACAATCCACCATTCAGCCTGGAGATCTTGGATTCATTATTGTTGGAGTCAACAGCCAGTATACTGCCTGCCAACCTTGAGCTCCTCAGCCCCTGCAGCTGCATGAGGGGGGAAAAGCCTCCAGCTTGACATTTGATCCAAGAACTTGGGACTTGCCAACTTCTATGTGTGTGAACCATTTTCCTAAGATAAATTTCTCTGTCTCTCTCTATATATAAGCTTTACTGGTTTTGTTTCTCTAGAGAACCCAGTCTAACACAGACCTCTAGCTTAGAGGGACATTTGTGTCTCTGATGGGTGAATTTGAGCTCTTGGAGCCAAGCACCTCTGTGCATGGCTCTGTGGTGGATGTCACCATTTGGAAAGCAAGGTAGCTATAAACAGTGAGAGCCATGACACAGTCTCAGCCTTGGCCTTAGTGTTCTGCCCTTGGGATGCTATCCTGATGACATGATTACAAAGGAGGAAACGAGCTGCAGCTAAGGCACAGTGCAAATCAGAGATTCCAACAGCCAAACCACTGCAGGACCTAAAGAAGTGAGTGGTTGCACATATCACGATCCATGTCTGAGTCTCTGGTGTGACCAACATAAAGCACCACAAGGGGCTGGCTTGAAAGAATAGGAATGTATTGCCTGTCAGTTCTGGAGGCTTGAAGAGTCCTCATCAGGGTCTCGTCCATGTGTGTTCCTTCTGAGGAATTTGAGAGGGGCACGGGGACATGCTGGTGTCTCGTTTCTGCTGTTGCTGGGACCCTGGGAGTCCCTTTGCTGCTCAACCTACTGTTGTCCACACATGCTATCTGCCTCCCTGGTGTGACTGTTTCAATGACTGTTGGTCACCTTTGTGAGACACCT